TATCGACTGACAGCTCGGACCGCAAAACAGCGGCGCAGAGGTGTTTAAACTTCGGAAGTGGTGTGAACCTCACTGAAGAAAGTTCTGCCACAGGCTTTGAACTACCGCCGAGAACCAGTTCACCATCAAACATTTTGTCCGTTACACGAGACATACAGGATGTAAATCTTTCTCCAGACGAACAGTCTCTGTGGGGATTGGAGGCCTGAATCGCCACAGAGGCTTTCTCAATGACGCCGTGCTTCTTGAGCTGCTCTAACATCGGAGGCGGTTTCACTTCACCTAGAGCCAAACCTAAGGTGCCCGTGAACGGTAATTTCCCTGACAGACTCTTGAATTTGACAATCAGTCCGAATTCCACTTTAATGTCAGTCACATTACCAATAGAGAGTTTCCCATTATGTGCAGCATACTCTATAGAGCCTCCACCAGCAAATTTGACAGTTTGCCGAGGGCGTTTGAATATATCATCACAAGGATGCGTAGAGGGACAGAAATAACATCCTGTTTTTAGGCTTCGGCACGCACCTCGACCTTTTTCTATCTCGTAGGCCACACCGTACATGACCAGCCAACGAGGTGATGCCGAATCGGGGAGTAAATTGAAGGTCTGGTCATCAAGGGTTATCGGCACCCGGTTGTCGGTGATATCCAGGTGTATCGGAGCCGATACTCCTTGGGCGATGAGGCAGGCGAGATGTGACAAGTGCAGCCATGTCTTGGTGATCATGGTGATAACTAAAACAGTTGTAGTAGAGGGCAAGCAAGATACTCTCCCCTCGCATGAGACGTTGATAGGAGTCCATTCAACATGTCAACGTCATGATGCCCGTGACATGGTGAGACAAGAAACTATTCTCGTCATCGCTGAGAAATATCCTAGCCGACGCTAAAGTCGAAATCTTCAGTTTGAGCATTAACAATGCCACATTGAGTATAGTATGAGTGCAAGCAATGGTCGCTACTTACCGAACAGGGTCGATCCTGAGGAAACCCATATAATTCTTGTACAGACGACTGTTATCCCGAATAGATGGGTTTGCGCATGAGTTCAGGCAAAGAAGAGGATCTCAGATGAGTCGGAATCGGACTGCCGCTCGAGGCGGGGGCAGTCAACTTCGCTCGTCCCGGAAATACATCTGCGTTGCTACTTAGTTTCCGCCTGCCGTTTTGTAGGAATATGAACACGTCGCCAAAAATCGCGGCGAGCTTTTCTCCCTCGATTAAAACTCGTCGACCAAGGCAGCCGCGGCAGTGAATGCCCGACTACGCGCTGAGTTCTGTCTCAGCGGAGTCGATGCGCTCTTCGGGCGGAAATTCGTCCTGGGCGAGCTCCGTGTAGTCGCGGAGCAAGCGACATATATACCATCACTCCGGGCATTTCATGTGTCCGTGCGTCCGTCCCAATTAATCCTCTACGACTACACCAGTTGAGATCTCGAGACACTAGCAGATCTCGTCGCTTCGCTCCTACGGAAAGGGAGACTGTATTGCGGTTGTCGCTCCGTTTGAGGTGGTTTCAGGGGGAATCGCCATAGCGATAGTAGGTAGGAATAGGAAATACTATCCAGTGAAGGCCTTGAGCGCAAAGTGCGAAGTGATAGAGTGTAAGCAAACTGTTTGGTTCGGTAGTCAAGCTGCATGACTGTCAAACGAGAGATGCGTAGATAAAAACTCATACCCGGCAACCTGAGTTGGGCGAAGTGTCTCACATAGCGGTTTGAAAGGCCAAGAAATGCTCTTACGACCATCAGAATCTGATGGTCGTGAAAATTTACAACCATCTGATGATCAGATGGTTGTAAATTTTCACGAACTGCGTGAATGCAGGAATCACCCAACTGCAGGAAGTGCACGGAAACGTGATGAAATTACACACGATGTAGGTTCAGGAATGCATTGAAGAGTAGAATTGGAGTGTTGAGAGGCGTTTAGAATTAATAGGTGGGAATTAACGCTCAAGAGGATCATATGCTTGAAGTATGAAAGTATGTAATAAGAATTTGGAAAAGAAATTTGGAAATGTGATATTTTCACGCACGATTATATCCTTGTAGCTTGAGAATATTGATATCCCATTCGGAAGAGCATAGCTCATGTATCCTACAAACTGAATGAAGATACTCTTATTTTCACGGTGGGATGTACGTAACTGTATCACAACGTCACGTCCAGTCCCTAGACGCCGGTAGTGACAGACTCAATATGCACTAGACTCCAATCCATATTGGCGGGGTCAAATGGACCGCGCCAAGAGCTCAACCAGGTCAAGTTCAGACGGAACAAGGGCGACTCGAGAGCTCCTCACAATGCTCCATGGTTCCTGATCGCGACACGTTAAGTGAGAGATGATTGCCCAACTGAGTGTAGAGGCATTTCTCGAGAGCAGCGCAGCGTCCATTTCAGCGGAGGCGAGGGCGATGGGCGCCCGGGTCAGTCGCTCCACCTGAGACGTGTCAGTTCTAGATGAACGACCCTCATCAGCTGCACTATGTTCAGCTTCTTGGAAGCTAAACACCGTACAGAAGCTACTTCTACGGCTTCCCCTCTCGAACTGAGAGTGCCACAGAATAAGTGCGGCGTCCCCACCTTCCAATTGCCGTAGTCGAGCACGGAAGGCCAACTCGAAATTATCGAACCACACCTGACTGTGAACACTAAAATAGGACGTACCGGTTTGGCTAAATGTTGCACTTGTATGGTGCTCCGTGATACTTCGGCCTGAACACATTGGTCGGTATAGGCTTGGCCCAAAGGTCTATCCAAAGTAGTAACTTACTACTTTGGAAGGCGACCTTTGTCACTAACTACTAGTGAGTGAACTGATTCCCACAGTGACAGTGTCAGTGTCTGCTAACTGCTTCCATAGTGCCGCCGGAGAAGCCGCTGGGGTCGAGAACATGCACGGATTATCAACAATAGACTGGAGTCGAGGGAAATAACGGGTTAAGCCTCCAACCACGTGAGATGACGCACAAAATATATGCTCAGTGAGGCTTGCGACCACTCCGAGCGAGAAAATAAAGCGAGAGTAAGGTCGGAGTTTTACAGTACGCAGTAGATCGGTCCAGAGACAACTCCAAGTCCGAACTGTTCCATAAGATAACAATCACAACAGTCGCGAATGGCGTGTATCCTCATATCATGGTGGGCTTGGTTCAGTCGTAGCCCGCGCTGCGTGTATTATATCCTCTTTCTCTCTGATCTTCGCACGAAGCTCTGCGATGATCTTCCTATTTCTTTCGATTTCTGCAAGATCCAGAGAAGCTTCCCCCGCGGCAGCCGGCGTCCCTCTCTCACTCGACTTCATCGAGCCTAGAGGATCGAATAACCCTTCTACGAAGACAATCTAATGCACGTGGGTATACCCTTCAAGGGCCCTTGCCGAGTAATAGAGAGCTTCCTCTCACTTCGCTCTATCTTCAAGGCCTGCAGCTCCTTACGGAGGTCACCAATTTCTGTTAATAGACCCATATTCTCCTGCAAGATCACCATGACGATTCCCAATCCACCAAAGAAACACCATCACCGCCATAATCCGACTGTTATCTTTCCTTCGAGCTTCCGCATCCTTCTGCAGCTTCATTTTCATGTTGTTCACCCTTGCCTCTAGGGCAGCTTTCTGGCATTGATGTTCCTATAAGATACGCAAAGTTGAGGCAATCAAAGCTGCTCTTCGTCATAACAACGTCAACTATTTACTATTCAGGTTGTACTGGGAGTCCCATTTTCGCCACAGATGGATTCACAGGAAATTCTTACGCGCATATCAAATGAAACAAGCGGCTCACAGGAATCGCTCAAAACCAATGACTACCGTGTGGATCCCCTTTTTGGTATGCGGCCTCTTCTCCATCGCAACCTCCTCGTCTTCACTTTCTTCCTCCTCCTCAGTATCCTCCTCCTCTTGATCTCCACTCCCCTCCTCATCTCCTCCTTTCTCCTTCTCTACGGGCTCCTTTGCAGGAGGTAACTCAATATACTTCCTCGCCATACCAAGGAAGCTCTCCTTGAGCTTTTCTGGATCCTGAACAAAAACCACCTCTTCCCACGATCTTCCCATAGGTCACACAGCAGCTCTTACTACCAGTATATGCTGAGTAGTGTGATAGAGATCCGTCTTGAAGGCATTCGATACCCGCCGAAGGTCCGACAGTCGCTGTCTATAGTCGACCACTTCTCGCTGTAGCTCTTTTTGCTTCCCCCTCATAACCTCAATATCTTCCATCAGGTTCTTGCTCTGTTTGTGTTGCCTAACAGCCGCTACCGAGACGCCCATACAAGCATGTCTCACTCTTCCATTTCATGGTCCATATCAGAGATTTGCTTCCTCACTTCGGCAATTTCTTCGCTTCTAGGCCCAACCTCCTCTTTAAGCTCCTCAATCCTATGGTCAAGAATCTAAGCCACATGAACGCCGAGGAAACTTCTGTTCGTGCGCGTGATCGA